ACTGGACAGTGACATACAGAAGAATAAACTTGGACCACTTTCTCACACCATACATAAAAACAAACTCGAAATGGATGAAAGACCTAAATGTAAGACAGGAAGCCATCAAAATCCTAGAGGAAAAAACAGGCAACAACCTCTCTGACTTTGGCTGCAGCAAATTCTTACTTGACACGTCTCCAGAGGCAAGGGAAACAAAAGCAAGAATGAACTATTGGGACCTCATCAAGATAAAAAGCTTCTTCACAGTGAAGGAAACAATCAGCAAAACTAAAAGGCAACTGATGGAATGGGAGAAGATATTTACAAATGACATATCAGATGAAGGGTTAGTATCCAAAATCTATAAATAACTTATCAAACTCAACACCCCAAAAACAAATAATCCAATGAAGAAATGGGCAAAGACATGCATAGACAGTTTTCCAAAGAAGACATCCAGATAGCTAACAGACATGAAAAAATGCTCAACATCACTCATCATCAGGGAAAAAGAAGTCAAAACCACAATGAGATACCGCCTCATATCTGTCAGAATGGCTAAAATTAACAACTCAGGCAACAACAGATGTTGGTGAAGATGCGGAGAAAGAGGAACACTTTTGCACTGCGGGTGGGAAGGCAAACTGGTGCAGGCACTCTGGGAAAACAGTATGGAGGTTACTCAAAAAATTATAAATAGAACTACTGTACGACCCAGCAATAGCACTACTAGGTATTTGTCCAAGGGATACAGGTGTGCTGTTTCGAAGGAGCACATGTACCCAATATTTATAGCAGGGCTATCAACAATAGCCAAAGTAAAGAAAGAGCCCAAATGTCCATCAACTGATGAATGGATAAAGGAGATGTGGTATAAATATATAATGGAATATTACTCAGTGATCAAAAAAATGAAATCTTGCCATTTGCAACAATGTGGATGGAACTAGAGGGTATTATGCTAAGCGATGTCAGTCAGTCAGAGAAAGACGAATGTCATATGATTTCACTATGTGGAATTTTTTTTTTCAACGTTTATTTATTTTTGGGACAGAGAGAGACAGAGCATGGACAGGGGAGGGGCAGAGAGAGGGAGACATAGAATCGGAAACAGGCTCCAGGCTCTGAGCCATCAGCCCAGAGCCCGACGCGGGGCTCGAACTCACGGACCGCGAGATCGTGACCTGGCTGAAGCCGGACGCTTAACCGACTGCGCCACCCAGGCGCCCCCATATGTGGAATTTAAGATACAAAACAGATGAACATAAGGGAAGGGAAGCAAAAATAATATAAAAACAGGGAGGGAGACAAACCATAAGAGACTCTTAAATACAGAGAACAAACTGAAGGTTGCTGGAGGGTTGTTGGGTGGCGGGATGGCTAAATGGGCAAAGGGCATTAAGGAGGAGACTTGTGGGGCACCTGGGTGGCTCAGTTAGCTAAGCATCTGACTTCAGCTCAGGTCATGATCTCACGGTTTGTGGGTTTGAGCCCTGCATTGGGCTCTGTGCTGACAGCTCAGAGCCTGGAGCCTGCTTCCGATTCTGTGTCTCCCTCTCTCTCTGCCCCTCCCCTGCTCGTGCTCTGTCTCTCTCTCTCTCAAAAACAAATAAACATTAAAAAAAAAAAAAAGGACACCTGTTGGGATGAGCAATGGGTATTATATGCAAGTGATGAATCACTAAATTCTATTCCTGAAATCATTGTTAAATTAACTAAATTGGATTTAAGCTAAAAAATATATATTTGGGAGTTCGACAGGTCAATCACACTATTTTACTGAAACAAGTAATTTCACCTAACTAGAAACGATGAAAAAGGACTATTCTTTTCCTCCAAAACCGAAAATGAAAACTATAACAAAACCGCAGAGTGAGCTGAAATTACAGTGGGAGGCAGCTGGAAGGCATAGGTTTGTCCCACAGAGAGATGCCAACAGCAGCACTACTATGTGACACAGAACCTTGTGCCAGCTGCAGGGTGGGGGGTTTAGACTGACTCTAAGGAACTGGAATCATCCCATGTTAGTAGCATCGTCTAAGCTACTACCAGAAATAGAAGCAAATTCCCTCTGGCGGAAAATTTCTCATAGGACTCATGTATATTAAGATCAATCAGTGAGTTCACAATTTAAGTCACCAAAGGTGAGGGTCAGCAGAAAACAAATTTAGACTACCAACAACTATAGATATTTAAACCACCAGATACGGAATCAGAGCAGCAATACATAAATTAGTTGAAAAAATTAAAAAGGCAACTATAAAACGATCAAGCAAAGAAATTACCTGGAAATAACATTCAACTGTGAAAAAACAACAAATTGAACATCTAAAGAGGGCATTAAAAAGCAACTTCTAGGGGGACCTGGGTGGCTCAGTTGGTTAAGCATCTGACTCTTGATTTCAGCTCAGGGCATGATCTCACAGTTTGTGAGATCGAGCCCTGTGTAGGGCTCTGTGCTGACAGTTCGGAACCTGCTTGGGAATCTCTCTCTCCCTCTCTGTCTGCCCCTCCCCTGTGCTCTCTCTCTCTCTCAAAATAAATAAATAAACTTAAAAAAAAAAAAAAGAAACTTCTAAAGAATGGACTTGAGGAAAAAGAAAATTGATCCCAAAAGGCTAAGAAGGAATGGCAAGCAAATAAGTGATAAATATGTACATAAATCCAGACACTGTACAAAATAATAATTCTAACAATATCTAATATATTAAGTTAAAAAAACAGAATTAAAATGCAGAAAATAATAGCTTATAAGTCAAGCAAGGATACAATCAGTAACAAAGAGTTTTAAAGTCTCTGCAATATTCTTGAAGTTGTTTATTACCTTTTTTTTTTTTGAGAGAGAGTGAGAGAGTGAGCGGGGACGGGGCAGAGAGAGAGAGAGGGAAAAGGAGAATCTTAAGTAGGTTCAACACTTAGCACAGAGCCCAACGCAGGGCTCAATCTCACAATCCTGAGATCATGACCTGAGTCAAAAGCAAGAGTTAGATGCTTAACCAACTGAGCCATCCAGGCACCCCTGAAAGTTGTTTAAATGTAGACTAGCAAATATATGGTACAATTTCAAGGATAATCACCAAAAGAACAGATTTAGGTTATAAATTTAAAACAAGAGGGGGAAAAAAAAAACCCTTGCCACTTAAAAAAACAATATATAAAAAAAATCAAAGGTAAGAAAGGAGGAAAAAAGCAAAAAATGGACAAATATAATTAAAATGTAAGATAGTATAAACACATCAAATACATCAATAATTACACTAAATGTAAATAGACTAAACTTGCCAGTTAAAAAAGCAGAGATGATCAGATTGAGGAGGAGGAGGAGGGAGAATTCAGCCTTAAACTGTTAACAAGAGGGGTGCCTGGATTGCTCAGTTGGTTATGCATCTGACTCTTGATTTCTCCTCAGGTCATTATCTCAGGGTTCATAGATTCAAGCCCCGAGTCAGGCTCTGTGCTGCCAGTGCAGAGCCTGCTTGGGATTCTCTCTCAGCCCCCCACTCTGCCCCTCCCCAATTCATGTTCAAACTCTCTCTCTCTCTCGCAAAATAAATAAATAGTTAACAAGAGATATACCTAAAGCATAAGGCCACAAAACAGTTGAAAGTATGGAAAAAGATAAACCAGGCAAATAACAACCAAAAGAAAGAATAGCTATATCAATATCAAACAAAGTAGATTTCTAGACAAAAAGCATCACTAGTGAAAAAAAAGGTCACTACATAGAGATTTTTTTTAAAAATCCAATTCTCCATGAAGATATCACAACTCTAAACTTGTATATACCTCTTAAAACATCCATGAATTACATTTTTTTTAGGGTTTTTTTTTACATTTATTTATTTTTGAGAGACAGAGTGAGACAAAGTGAGAGTGGGGGAGGGGCAGAGAGAGAGGGAGACACAGGATAGGAAGCAGACTCCAGGCTCTGATCTGTCAGCACAGAACCCCACGCAGGGCTCAAACCCACAGACCATGAGATCATGACCTGAGCTGAAGTCGGACACTCAACCGACTGACTGAGCCATCCAGGTGCCCCCATGAATTGCATATTTTTAAAGTGTAAATACTGTACAGAGAAACTGACATACCTACTACTCAAAGAAATTCCACACATTTTTTTTTCTCAATTATTGATGGGTCAAGCAAACAAAAATAAATGAACGCATATAGACATTGGCACCTAACATTAGAGAATACATAATTTACTCAAGCACACATGAAACGCTGTAAAAATTGATCATATATTAGGCCATAAACAATTATCAACAACAAAAAAAGTAAAGACTTGAAAGAGGTATGGAAGTTCATATACTCAAATCTTCTCTTTAAGAAACAAAAGTTCACCGAAGTCTTCCTCAGGCACCCTTCTCTCACGCTGATACCACTGACACTTAAATATAGCTTCTTTCATTTTACTTAGTGTATACATGAGTCGTAATCACCACTTTACACATGTATATATAAGTCTCCCTCAAAGAAACCACATACTTTGAAGAACTGTATCTAAGTCAATTTGTCTTGCTCTTACAAATAAAATGAGCAACCATAACTAAGTGGATAAATGAAGGAGCAACACATTAGGTAGAGAACAAACTTAAAAGGAGGGCATCAGGCCAGAAGGGAGCATTCTCTTTGGAGTCCTTAATTTCATGGATTAGACCCAGCCCTTTGGATGTGGACGATTTACGCCCAGTCCATGGATGAGAAGACCTGTCCATTGACAACATGTACAGCAGACACAAGGGACCTAGAGATGAATACTGGCTTCCCCATTTAATAGCTTAGTGAACTTGACAAGTCTCTAAGCCTCACTGGGCCAGTTGATACGTCTGCAAAATGGGAATAATATCCACTTCTCACACCTATTGTGAGAATTAAAAGAAAAGTCAATGTTGAGTGTACCTAGTATGCAGTAAGTGCTCCATAAAGGTTTTCCTCTCCTTTCCTAAGGGAGAAAGAGGAACTTACGTTCTTCCTCAAGAGTCAGGACTGAAAAAAGGAAAACTGCATCTCACCTGGGAACTGGTCATCTCTTCTTCCTCCTGGGCAAGGTCAGGCAGTTAAGGAGGCAGAGCTGGAGGAGAAGGAAGCCATGAGACATCAAGCCTTCCTTGTAGCTCCCAGAGTGGCCATTGTTTCTGCTTTGTCTGAACCATTCCCTCAACCATCCTGCCCTATGTTGCTTTCTTTTCTCCACACTGCAGATGGTTCACCATCTCAGCTAACTCGTCTTTCCTCTGTTCTGAGTCAAAACCTCCGCGGTCTCTCCCTGTTCTCCGCAAGTGGTCATGTGACCCAAGACTTGCAGCCCCAGCAGCTCCAAAATCCCGTCTTCCTCCACACCCCAGTCTTGGCTCAGTTTTGGCAGGGCTCAGGTCCCAGGTGTGCCCCCTCAAGGATGGGTTCCAGCTGCTGTGGAGCTGCGGCCTTCATTCATTACAGCATGGCTTGCTCCTACTGGCTCAGGACAAGCTGGCTCCTACAGCCTGTCCTCGACTGGCATCTTTGTCCTGGGCTCCAAATCTCTGTACCCTCCAGCAAGAGTCTCCGGAAACCCAGCCGGGGTCAAAGTTAACGCTAAGCACCTCTCAGGATACATACCTGCAGGAACTCAGGCTAGGGACCACTGGACACAGGAATGGCAAATCAGGAGACCTGAGGCACCAAAGAGGGGAGGCCCCCGGGGCACACTGCTCTGTGGGGAGACGAGGGATCGCGGGCCAGACCTGGGGGCGCGCTCAGACCCGAGCGGCCGGCACAGGGTTGTGGAGCCAAACTTGGACTCGGAAAGAGAAAGGGGTCCTGGAGCCACTGGGGCGGCAGATGCCACTAACCCCAGTCGGAGATAAGCAGGGCCAGCTGGAGTGCTTTAGAGTACCTGGAAGGTTCCCACCCTCCACAGCCAAATCTCGGCAGCATATTCTTTTCAGGACCATAGCTCCCGAGGCCCCTGATTTGGAGGTTCAAGTGCCTCCATCGCACCCGCACTCCGATCTCCATCTTCCTGCTGACCCAGGGTGCCCCTGTGAGCCCCAGTCTCTCCGCGAGAAACCTCGGAGATGCTAAGGGCCGCCCAGACTCACCAGCCCGCGCCGGCCTGCGCCCAGCCCGCCACCCGGTAGCACTGCGCCTGCGCCGAGCGAGCCCAGGGCACCTCCCACAAGACCCCGCGGCGCACCGCCCCGCTGCAGTCCCAGGCCCCGGCTGACCGACCTGCGTGGTCCCAGGGTCTGCGGAGGTTCCTCGGCCAGCCCTGTCGGTGCGGAGGTGGGGGTAGAAAAGTCACTTAAAAAAAAAAAAATGTTTATTTGAGAGAGAGAGAGCACCAGCAGGGAAGGGAACAGAGGATCTGAAGCGGGCTCTGCCTGGACAGCAGAGAGCCCGATGGGAGGGCTCGAACTCACAAACCTCAGATCATGGCCTGAGCCCAACTCATCTGCTTACCTATTGGAGCCACCCAGGCGCCCTGAAAGTCATTTTTAAATTTCAGTTCCTGGGATCCTGCAATGGAAAAACGGCCTCCCTCCTTCGATGTGGAAGCTAGCCCCGCACCTAGGACCTCGGGGCCCACGCCTGGCACTTGAGAGTCTGATGCGTAGCCCCGCCTAGTGTGACCCTTGCTAACCCCCTGGGCCCGTCCCCCGCTTCCAGCCAGTACGCTTAAGGTGATGTCCATTTGGCCGGCCCGCCTCCTTCCTGATTCTATACAGGCTTCCAATCTCCTTGCAAGCAGCCCCAATCTCCACGTGGAATCTCTTGGAAACCTCACTTGGTTTTTGGAGCCAAACTCGGGAGGCGCGGGGCTGCTTCTCCAAGGCTGATTCATGACTGCTGGTTCCCATCCCCACCCCCTCTAACTAATCTTGTAGTTAGGAATTGTCTAACTAATCTTGTAGTGGAAATTGTCAGGTCTGGGAAAATGGTTGAAGATGGAGAAGCCTGGTTGGCCACCTTTTAGTAAGTCCTGGAAGTGGAGAGGTTGTCTGGCCCCCGGTTATTTATGGCTCTTTTTGCATTGTAGGGTACTTGATGCCTCACCTCTCAATCCTAGTTTCCATTCTGGGCTCAAGGGCAAATCCCAGTTAACATCATGTTCTGCACCTGTGACTGTAGTAGTCACAAATATTCTGGATTCCCACTTCTTTCCAGGATGTGGTAGACCTGCAGTTTCCCATCCCTTGGAATTTAGCGGTGACAGTGCGACCTGTTTGGCCACAAAATACAAGTAGTAATGTATGCCACTTTCAAAAGGAGTCTTTTAAGAGCCAATACACAATTTGTCCTGTTTCTTTTCTCTCTGCCCCCAGAAATTGTAACATTCGATGTGCAGGCAGCCTCTAAAATGGCTCCCAGTTGTTCCCTGTGCACTTCATGTCTCTGACACATTTTATTAACTTCACAAAATTTCAAACTTGCTCATTATTATATTTGTTACGATAATCTAAGATCGGGGATTACCATTTGCTGAAACCTCAGATGACAATTAGCATTTTTAAGAAAAAAGTTTTAAGTGTATTTATTTATTTTGAGAGAGAGAGAGAGAGAGAGAGAGAGAGTACAAGCCAGGAGAGGGACAGAGAGAAAGGGAGAGAATCCCAAGCAGCCTCTGTGCTGTCAGCGTGGAGCCTGACGCGGGACTCAATCTCATGAACCATGAGATCATGACCTGAGTCAAAATCAAGAGTTGGAAGCTTAACGGACTGAGCCACCCAGGCACCACAAGCAGCATTTTTCAATTAAGGTGTGTATATTCTTAGACATAATGCTATTGCACACTTAATAGACTATAATATACATAGTATATATATATATATATATATATATATATATATATATATATATACATATACATGCTTATATAGTGTGACATGACTTTTATATGTACTGGAACACCAGAAAAATTTGACTTGCTTTGTTGCAGCAGTCTGGAACTGAATCTGCAATATTTCCAGCATATACCTATATTTCAATGACAACCCCTATGTCAGTTATAGGAGACTAAACTGCTGTCACAAATAGACTTCCCAATGCATTGGCTCAGCCAAAATAGAAGTTCCTTATTCCTCATTTCACAGTACAAGGCAGGTGGTCCATGTTGGTGGGCAGCTTCTTTTCCACGTGGTTTTCAGTGACATAGTCCATTAAGGCTGCTATAACAAAATGCCATAGACGGGGTAGCCTATAGCCACAGAAATCTCCCACAGTTCTGAAGGTTGGAAGTCTGAGATCAGGGTGCCAGCATGGTCAAGAGAGGACCTTCTTCAGGCTGGCAGACTTCTCATTTCCTCACATGGCAGAAGGGGCTCGTGAACTCTGTGGGGCCTCTTTTCTAAGGGCACTAATCCCAACCATGAAGTCGCTGCCCTAATGACCTAATCATCTTCCCAAGGCCTCACCTCCTAATACCATCACCGTGGGCATGAGGTTTTCAACAGAGGAATTTTGAGAGGACACAAAAACCCAGACCATAGCAATGATCCAGACTGACAGTGGCCCTACCCTCTTCAACACGTTGCTTCCAAGGTTGCTCTGGCTGGCACGGTCCAGCCCCCCAGAGGAGCATCTCCACTCCCAACACCCTAGTCCAAAACACCATCATCTACTGTCTGGGCAATTGCCTCTTACCTGGTCTCCCTATTTGCCCTCTTGCCATCCCTACTGTCTATTCCCCACACACAGCCAGGGAAAAGTTTTCAAAAGTAAATCAGACTATACCACTCTTCTCAAAATCTTCAAAACCTTCCCATCACATTTAGAGTGAAATCTCACATAGTCTGGCATCTATCTAATGCACAGAACTCATCTCCACATCTTTCCTCCAGCCACACTGAACTTGCTGATTTGCAACAGGCTAGACTCACTCTTGCCTCAGGACCCTTGCAGGATCTTTCCAAGGCTCCTTCCTTCATTGAATTCAGGTCTCTGTTTAAAGGTTCCCTCTTCTCAGAGGACTTCCTTAGTCACTCCAAATTAGTTTCCTATCATCTTCAATCTCCTTACAGGTTTTAAAAAGTGTTTTGCTTATCATTACCTAAGATGATGATTTATTTGTTTACTGTTGGGCCGCATGCTGGTATCTTGCCTTTTTTGCTCACTGCTGTATTATCAGTATACAAGAGAACAGGGGTCAGCAATCTACATCAGATCTGGTTTTATGCCTGTTTTTGGAAATAGTTTTATTAGAATACAGTCACACTCATTTGTGTACACGTCTTCAGCTGCTTTCATGCTACAGCAACAGAGTAGTTGTAACAGACTGAACTGCCCACAAAGCCCAAGATAATTAATATCTAGCCCTTTACAGGAAAAGTTTAGCAACCCCTGATCTATAGCAATTATTGATATATCAGCTTTCTATTATTTGCTGAGGGGTCTTGTACCATTCCTTTATTTTCTATCCTTTCTGAATGATTTGGTTTCAATCATGTATGCAGCTTATATTTGGATTTTAAAAAACAATCTGATAGTCTCTGCTTTGGAAAAGTATGGATTTTCAGGCCTTTCTTTTGCTAAGACAAAAGATGGAGGAATAAAAAGTATCTCCTTCTCCCTCTTGATTAAAGTGGAACAAACTGGGGCGCCTGGGCGACTCAGTCGGTTAAACAACCGACTTCGGCTCAGGTCATGATCTCACAGTGTGTGAGTTCGAGCCCTGCGTCGGGCTCTGTGCTGACAGCTCAGAGCCTGGAGCCTACTTCGGATTCTGTGTCTCCTTCTCTCTCTACCCCTCCCACTCCCCTGCTCATGCTCTGTCTGTCTCTCTCTCAAAAATAAATAAACATTAAAAAAAATTTTTTTAATGCAGCAAAGATGGAGAACCTGATGCAAAGAAAACAGTAATTCCTACCTTAAAGACATTTGTACTGCTGCTGTGTGAAGGGCCTAGCTCAAAAATCAGACTACATTAATCCTTTCTCTGCCCAACATAAAGATAACTCTTAAACTAATTAAACGTGCTTACTGCTTTATTAGCTATAACTAATTTCTAGAATTGAAAAACATTATTTGAAGAAAACATTTCGTGTTACAAGAGATAGTATGAGTTCACAAAATAAATCAATCACATCACCAATTTACCTTCTTTCTTCCTTTTCTCCAAAAAGGTATCAGCTTGATTGATTGATTGATTGGAGTTTTTTGTTGCTTTTTTTTTTTTTTTTTTGATTTATTTTTTTTTTTGCTCCTTTTTTTAAAATATGAAATTTATTGTCAAATTTGTTTCCATACAACACCCAGTGCTCCTCCCAACAGGTGCCCTCCTCAATGCCCATCACCCACCTTCCCCTCCTTCCCACCCCCCATCAACCCTCAGTTTATTCTCAGTTTTTAAGAGTCTCTTATGGTTTGGCTCCCTCCCTCTCTAACTTTTTTTTTTCTTCCCCTCCCCCATGGTCTTCTGTTAAGTTTCTCAGGATCCACATAAGAGTGAAAATATATGGTATCTTTCTCTGTATGGCTTATTTCACTTAGCATAACACTCTCCACTTCCATCCATGTTGCTACAAGGGGCCATATTTCATTCTTTCTCATTGCCACGTAGTATTCCATTGTGTATATAAACCACAATTTCTTTATCCATTCATCAGTTGATGGACATTTAGGCTCTTTCCATAATTTGGCTGTTGTTGAAAGTGCTGCTATAAACATTGGGGTACAAGTGCCCCTATGCATCAGCACTCCAGTGTCCCTTGGATAAATTCCTAGCAGTGCTATTGCTGGGTCATAGGGTAGATTTCTTTATTTAGTTAGTTAGTTGTTATTTTTCGGAGAGCACCTAATTATCTCCCTTTTGCAACATAAGTTTTAAAGTGTTTCCGACACGTTAAAAAAGTAACCCTAAAATATAACAGACTTTATTATTCCTCAGGATAAGTGATTCAATCCATTTGCCTTTCTTGTGATTAGTGATCTACTTGGACACATCCCTGAGTTCTGCCTTCTATTCACTGTGCCTTTCCTTTGTTGCTTTAGTTTTCCTTTCCTGTGTCCTACTGCATTTATAGTTCTCTTTATTCCCTTTCCTCTCCCTAGTGACTTGTGACATAGTGTGTTTCTTTTAGTGGGTAGGCTTCAGTTTTTGTCATGCATCTTCAGTAAGGTATGAATTGAGTATCTATCCCAGAACACGGACTTTAAAAGACTTTAACCCTGATTCCTCCCACTTTTCTAATGTTATTATG